AAATTAAATTTGACAGTAGCTGATGTGGCTCAGTTCATTTCTGCTCAACGCGGTCCAATTATATTTAGTTCCCAGGTACAATGCAGGGTTTAACACGTGTTGTGGGTCAGATTTTGATTCCGCTGATTTTTCTGCGTTCAGTCATTAGTGACGTTTAGAAACCTTCTGTCGCAATTTTTCCCGGGTCGACCTTTCTTTTCTTGTTTTTTTTTACCGAGTTATACGTCTCTTTCGTTCCCCTGACATTAAAGTTTGACCTCATTTTCCGGTGATCCATGGAAAGCAACAAGTCATACACGGATGATAGGAACCATCCAAAATAGAGTTGCGCTTTTACATTAGAGAGGCAACTATACGACATTTCTGCGAAACTCCCTGAGTTAGGTAAACAGTAAAGTGTTGAGGAGTACCCACCATCCATCATCCATTTTCAAAGAGGTCCAAAGTGGAGAGATGGAAATTCTTCGCTGTAGCTATCCTCACACGGTCGAAGTGAGGTTACAAAGATGCGGAAGTGCGGCACCCGACAATAAAAAATCTTCCATTTTTTGTTGGTAACCCAAAAACGTTTGCAGGACCTCGAACCTTAACACCTGAATTGACAATTGACTCCGATCTCAGCTCTGAGATGGACGAATAAATGGATGGCAAAAGGAGCGAAGATTTATGTTGAGAAAGCAGAAGTCTGTTAGCTTCGCGGTGACCGCATTTTGGGAAATGACGCGTGATTGTGAACTCCTCTAGATACGCAGTGACTCAGAGGAAACCAGCTTGTATTTTGATTTCGCAAAATGTAAATCTCCCATAACGCGCAACAACGGTAATTTGAAGGGACGTAGAGCTTGTAGCAAAGTTAACTGGATTATGATGCACAAGTTGGTAGTGCCGTAAAATATACCGGGTGAATCATCCGAAGTTGATCCGCAAATTAAATTTCCGGAAAATATTGCAATTACGTGCTTGAAACTGGGTTCCGGATGATACTAAGCTGAATGAAATGGCCGTATCGTAAGACCCATTATGAAAGCTCGCGGTCCACGATCCGCACGTCCGTCAACTTAATCCGGAATTCGGAGCGGGTGGTTGCATACATTTCAGGCGCTGCCATAACGGTTATTGTTTGCAGGTGCCGCTAAGCGCAGCTGGGGCATCGCAATGCTTTGTGGCTCCGCGAATGTCAAGGTCGAACGCCGGTGGCGGCGTGCCGTGTTGCCTAAATCCAGGCGTCAAAGAAACTTACTTCCTTTGTTCCGGAGACTTACGACCAATTAATAATGAAATGAAGCGTCTCTTTGAAAAAAGACGCGAGTTGAACGAGGATCCCGCGGCGCTTACGCGCTTTCTCGGGGGAGCCGTCTCGAACGAGGGGCGAGGGCGTTTGTTTCCTCACTCCGGTTTTCATTAGCGGCTCGAGTTATTCATGGCCTATCATCTTCATGACCCTCTCAAACTTTTCCCGCTCTTTTCCCTGTTTTCCTCTCTAATTTTTTTTTCATTTTCCTGTTCTTGAAATTTCAAATTACGTCACTCTAACTTGATTTGGACGGAATTTTCCACTTAGTGAGGAGCCTCCTCCCTTTCATTTTCATTTTTTTCTTCGCTGAACTTAATTTCCTAAATCGGGATGTTTTTGCGAACTTCATCTTTCCTCTTTTCTGTCGTGCTAAGGAAAAACACCGTACGGCCATTCCAGAGCCGCTAAGTTTCCCCGAATAAAACATGTATTTTTGAGGAAAGTTATTCATATTTTTCTTGCGATTTTCAAATATTTTAGATTATTTTGCGGATAAAAGTGTCTTTAATAAATGGAGATAAAATATTTACAATTTTTCCAATATTTCGTTCTGTAGTGGAAGAAATCTTGCAACGTCTAAATACTCATACGACGTTCTTCCTTAGCACGGCAGTCGGCAGTATTACTCTCAGACTAATTTTTCTCGTCCTCGCTCATTTTACCTTTTATAGGGCAATGTTCTTTCACTTGGAAAAAGTTTCAGAACGAAAGAGGAAGGAAGTCCTAGGCACAAGCCTTTCTTTAACTTGTTCAGTAGTTCATAAAAGTTTGAAATTAAATCCTTTGTTGGAATAAATTGCGTCTTTCGGTCCCATTTACCGTCGCACCAGTGACCCGAACTTTCCACAAGGAAATTAGAATTGAAAGTTTTGAAACTCCAATTTCGCTCAAATTTTAGCCCCAGATCCGTGAAACTAAAGGGCTAGCTAGTGTCAGTTCTCCTTCACGACTATTCAATTCGATTTCTGGAGTTTGACCTATTTTGCTTTGATTTTGTGGGAATAATTTCGTTTGTTGTCGTGGTTGAGTTGAGCTCGTGAGTAGCTTGTTTTGTTGGTTTTGCAGAACCAAAGTACGGGGTTGCAAGCGCCGCGCCGTGCGCCAGGAAAAACTGGAACAAGGAACAAAATCAGCCTTTAAAATTCTAAAAGAATAAACAATTGAATTTATTCAAAGGAAACTGTACATATAGGATTTTCATGCTTCATAGATTTTATTAATTAAATAATAAGATAATAATGTAGCCTTGGTACCTTTTTTCCGTACATTTTTCCCCACGAGGCCTTTCAATTACACAGAATCATGATCAGGCAGTACACTACATATCACATGTTATTAAATACAAATATTGGGTTTACCAAAAAATAAAGTACCAAAACATAGAATAAACATCACTAAAAAATACATAAGAAAATAAACGGAAAAAAGTTATCAAGGCTACATTTTTCTAATATTATTTATAAATGTATCTCAAGTGCTTCTCGGGGCAGTGACAGAAGACATGCATGTCTCCAAGTCTGATGAGATACGTCACATTTTGTACGGCAGACAAAATGTAATTTGCGTTAACGTGGGGGACGTGCAATGCTGTCCGTCACGGGAAGGAAGGAAAACGCCTTCGATAGCGTGTGTATGCAACACGGACATCTATCGAGCACGAATAGTTGCTCGCAAGCGCCTTTGTAATGAACGCTCCCTATACCAGCCCCATGTTTAACGCTTAAGATTTGTAACGGAAATGCGCAACAAGTCAATTGCAGTATTATGTTTTTAAAATTAGATCTACGTAAATAATCATTGATAAGATGACTAGTGTCTTTACTCCTCTCATATGAATCATTCTATGCTAAATCATAACGTGTCTTTAAAATTGCAAAACAAGTTTTTTTGCGGATAAATCTTTTCGGAGAGGACTCACAGCGTGTGTGTGAATACTTTTTTAAACACAGCCGTGTGTGTTTGATCCTTTTACCGACTGGAGAATTCGCCAGAAAAATTTTTATTGCCTTGACTGAGAGTCCCCAATGAGCTTCATCCGCAGTGTCTTTCGTAATTTATTCTCTTATATGGGAAATTGTAGGAAAATAGATTTAAAGGTGAGAAAATCTGCCGCACTGCGACGTTATCAGGCTGCAGTCCCTATATGAACGCATGTATTTTAGCAGAATACGTGATTTGTTCAAATCTCCTTTAACAAGTGTTCATTTTTGAAAATCAAGAAAATTCTCATGCTCTGTTAGTTAAGACAGTAGGCTCTTTTTAAACATAAAATTCACAAAATTACAGACCTCTGCTAATGCTCAATTTCGTACAGTTTCAGCTGCTCTCGAGTCCAAAAAACTCGGGTCCGGTAATCTAGGATTGCGCGAAAGGTCTGAGAAAGTATATGAAGATTGCGCGAAAAAGGCACAAGGATTGCGCGACTAGATCCCTTAACATCTGCCACAGAAATGCGCGAATTTAAAATGAAGTTAATTTAAGGTACACGTTTAGCAAAACAGGAAACAGTTGGAAAATAAAAACGCATTCTCATGTTTGCGCTAGTTCAGGTTAATTCGTTGACAAGTCATCGATGTTTTACCCTCTGATGATAAATGAAGTGAAAAAATTGGATAACGGTCGTGGGTAAACGAGGCAGCGTTGGAATGCTCATACGGCGTCGAAATCGAAACACAACATGGGCCTTTTTAGCTCCATTATTCGATGCCGCGATTATTCTAACGCGAGTTCGAATAATCGCGCCAAACATAGTGCGGCCGCTGTTAAACGTAGATTAGCGCCTGCAAGACTTTAGGAATACTTCATGCATTGCGCCAAACAGTGCGGTCGGCGTCAATCCCATATCAGCGCCTACAAGACTGTGTGAATACTTCTCGCATTGCGCCAATCGCAGAGTACAGTCGGTTAAACATTAATATTCCCACTAGAAGGGCACGCTTCCTGACCGCATTGCAGTCCAACCCCTCAAAGCGGTTGACGCCTAGGCGTTTAGGCGTTTACGTTACGCGTCACGATTATGATTTTATATTATATTATGTTATATTATATTATATTATATTATATTATATTATATTATATTATATTATATTATATTATATTATATTATATTATATTATATTATATTATATTATATTATATTATATTATATTATATTATTTTCATATTATACACTGGGAAAAAAACACATTGGATCTAGAGTCCAGACTCTTGAAAACATTGACAAGAAAAAGAACTCTTGATTCAATCAGATTTAAGCTTAAATCAAAAGGAAATCCGCTCAAATTAAGAGGCTTGGTTCTTGATGAAAGCTTAGATCTGATTGAATCGAGAGTACTTTTTCTTGTCGATGTTTTTAAGAGTCTGGACTCTAGATCCAATGTGTNTTTTTTTTTTTTTTTTTTTTTTTTTTTTTTTTTTTTTTTTTTCCAGTGTAGCGTATGATTTGAATTTGCACTGAAAAAAAAAAAAGAATCTTAAATTTGCCGCCAAGAAGTATTTCTTCTTAAATCAAGAATTTTTCTGGTTAATATTAGCTACTTTTTTGCTTAACCCGAACATTATTTTTCTTGTATCAAGAAAAAGTCAGCTTAAAGCAAGATAAAAAAAATTCTTGACGGCAAATTCAAGAATCATCAGGTTTGATCCAAGCTATTTTTTTTTTTTCAGTGTGCTCGAGCTCTAATTATTGGTCGGTTATTTGTTGCAGTATGGCAGAGGAGAATCCTTGTAATCGAACGAGTACACCAAATTACGAGCCGGTTTCAGTAGTGGAGCGTCTCGGCCACGGAGGCGGCAGTGGAGGCGGCAGCGGGGAGTGGGAGCGCTCGTCGCGGGAGGAAGATGGAGGCCATCATGGAAGAGGTGCGGGACGTCTCCATGTCCAAAGTGATAAAGTGGGTGTGCGCCACCATCATGATATTCGGTGGCATCGTCCCCTACATTCCCCAGTATCAAGAAATCTACCAGAAAGAAGACGCCGAAGGCTTCTCGCTCTACGTCTGTCTCGCTTTGCTCATAGCAAACACTCTTAGGATATTGTTCTGGTAAGTCCATCGCTCACTTACAGGGAATCGAATTTTTAACCAGTGGCGTCACGTGAACAATCGATTATCGATATTTGCCCATTTGAAGCTGTAATAAAGAATCGATTATTAAGGTGTTCGTTACGAACACCCTGTTCATCAATTCTTTTCCATAGGTTTAAATAGCAGATCAATCGATGTATCGCAAAGCACGTCACGCCACTGTTTTTAACTTTACAACGGGCTGATTCTGAAAATTGATGAACAAACCGATGGATAAAGAAGGCATCCGGAGCCTGGAGTGATCCTATTGGTTGAGATTGGTAATGGACCACTAGACAAGGTACGATTTCCAGCATTCTGATACGTGTTTCGTAACAAAATTTTCATGCAGAATACGATGCGCACAACAAAAATTACCGAACTTAACTCCTAACGAAGATATTTAATGATTCTTGACGCGTAAATTCAAACCACCCGCTCATCAAAACTCAATGCCCTATGTGATTCACATCGCGCGCTAAACATTATCATGACAGTCTCTGCGATATAAAAATCTGGCAACCTCAATCTTGACGCTTTGGCTCAGCTATAGCAAATTGCTAATAGTTTGAACAACACATGGTGGGAAATGAACATTGCTCGATTGAGAAGCTTGCTGAAACCGTTGCAGTGCGCGATTTAACCCACGTAAAGCTCTGAGTTTCTTGTGAGCGGGCAGATCAAATTCCTCGTAACCAGTGTGAAATAAAAACGTTAATATCTTCGTTAGGAGTATGTTTTAGTAATTTTCGTCGTGCGAATCGTGTTTTACGTGAAATTCTGGTTAAGAAGCGTGTATCAGATTGCTTAAATTCGTACCTTGTCTAGTGGTCCAGTCTTATAGACTGAGAAGGTAAGTGATGGACTAACTGTAGGATCTCTCGTGGGTTTCCGTTAGTTAGTCTATTACCTACCTCTTTTGTCCATTACAACGACCCGCTTCCACCAATAGAATCCCTTCATATCCATTTTGTCCTCTTTGTCTATAGCTGTGTCTACCAATTTCAACAACCAACCCTCATGAAGGGGTTAGTTGCGCAGGTCACAGAATCTTGTGTTTAAACTTGATTCTTGTACATAGATGAGCCAAAAATAATCAGATCCGACCAAACAGCAACTTTCTACGTTCACTATTCACCGTCATATCGCGCATTGAAAAGTTCGGTTAATGACGTCATCCACCGCGGTAGTGACACCCTTGGTTTCTTCCACATTGCTTTCATCAATTTGTGAGACGCACATTCGACTTTTGAAACCTGGAACTCGAATGAGGCAAGGTGGAAGAAATCAAGGGTGTAACTACCGTCGTATGACGTCATAAACCGAATTTTTCAAAGCGCGATATCTCGGTCAAAATTAAACTTAGAAAATTGTTGCTTGGACAGTTTTTTGTGTATGTACAAAAATCGAGCATCAAAACACAATTTTGTGCCCAGCGCGACTGATCCAACATCGTTGAAAAGAACATTCGAGATCCAGTGGCGTGGCGTGAATTGCGATGTATCGATTTTTATGCCATTTAAACCTATGGTAAAGAATCGATTAAGAAAGTGTTCGCTGCGAACATCCTGTTTATCGATCCTTTTCTATAGGTTTAAATGGCATGACAATCGATGTATCGCAAATCACTCCACGCCACTGTCGAGATCCCAATATACTTCTGATTCTTGGAAATAAGCTCAAACCTTCATTAAATAATAACAGTGCATGCAATATATTTTTAGAGGAAACTCTTTGCCTCTCCAGCTTTCATCTCTTTCGTCCTTCACATTTCCTTGAATTTTCTCTATTTTACTAAAGTGCGAAGGGAAACCTTTAAAAGTCCTCAATTCCAATTTAAAAAAGTTGTGATTATAAGCATGAATTTGGCATCGATGCTGCATCCTCATCCTCGAGGGATCAGAAGGCGAGAAGGAGAGAATAACGATGGATGTTTCCCTTTTGCCGGGCGGTCAGGGTCTTTCTCCACCTTTCAAGTGTCATTTTTTGTCGTCGACGCGAAATAATCGCCGGAGAGCTCGAACTTTGACGGCATCGCGTATAAATCATACGGAAGGAATTGATTGAAATCTATATCTGCCGTCTACCTCTCGTCCCCAGTCCTTTTATTCTTCCTGTGCAGCGGAGTTTCTACAGGGTGAGAAGCTTTTGAAAACCATTTCACGAAATTATAAAAAGTCAAGAAAGCTGCCAACCTCTGAGTGAATCTGTTGTAAATAAGTTATATAGTCAGCTGAGAGTAGCTCTTTTACTTAAAATTGGAAGGAAATTACGCTGACCGCACGTCAGAATTATTCGAACTCCACTCTTTACGACATAATTTTCAGACTTTACTAGACGCATTTACAAATGATCGAGTTTATCAGGAAGGAACCAACCCACATTTTCGAAATAATGGAGCCACGAATGTTTTTGAGTTTCACTAGTCGTTAATTTTCTCCTGCTAAAATCTGAAAGTCGAAAAAAACAAATTAGTTCGTGAGAGGGGTTAAAATTTATTTTCTACATTGAGCCTTCTGCAGGAATAAAACTTCAAACCTCTTTTTCTCAGTTTCAACTTAATGTAGGTTGGTTCCCTTCTGATGATCGGTCCAAATTTACCCCGTCCTCAAGCAGCTTTTCTCAGTTACCGATGATCAAGTCAGCCTAGACAGAATCGTATAAAAACATACCTTTTTAAAAAAGAAAATCTGGGAGAATGTTTTTGTCGTAAGATTTTAAGTGCGTTTCCCCTTATTTCTCTGTAAATTTCCGATTTAAGTACGACATAAGTCTTCGAAGAAATGACGGGGATATTCGAGTTCACTTGTTCCGTTCACGTGAGTTACGACGAACTCACCAGTCGAAAGCGCCTTCAGTTTCTGTGATACTTCACTGCCCACACCGGAGTTAAAATATTTGCATCAAAATTATTGTACGTAATTTATTGCATATTAATAGTAACTCGTAGAATCTTTTAATCGTCTATCAAAAATTAATTGAGGTTCATCTCTCAAATAGTCCGAAAAACCTTTCTCGAATTTGTTCGCACTATTTTCAAATACGCTCTCGCAAATGTTTCGTAGCTTGGCAGACAGCTTAAGTATTCAAAGACATGACGGGGAGATGCAGGTTTACATTATCAGTTTACTTGATACGTGTTACTGTGATTTACAACAAACTGTTGTCCCCGATCGAAAACGCCTTCAATTTTGCTCGATACTTCAGAACCCACACCACAGGTATCTTACATTTTTATCCATCGCGAAAAGCCGTGCAAAAAACGGGCTCCTCCAATTGCTTAATAAAAGTTGAGAGGTATTATTCCTGTATCCCCATCCAACTTTATGTACGCAGCGAGTGAATGAAGTTAGGTAATTCTTAGTGATCCTTATTCCCTTTAAATTATCTTTGAATTGTTGAAAGTTTTGCTCTCAGTCCGCCGACGCAGAATATTCCGGCGGAACGAGGGTCATAGAGTTTTAACAATCCACTCGGAAATGAAACGTTATAATCAATGAAGCACGGTGAATTAAGGCTGAAGCCGGCGCTGTTTTTTTTTTATTCAATGTGCTTTGTTGGCGCAATTGGGATTTAGTTTGTGTACGCTCGCCACATCCAGTTTAAATTCCGACCTGGGAGCTCTTCTGCTCGCTTTATTTGATTCGCTCCAAATATTTACGGGTTCGCTCGTTTGCGCGGTGATCAAATTTATTTCCACGCGACTCCGGTCGGAATTATCACACGGTCGCATCGTTTACGAGGAAGCCGTCCGAGTATAAGTTACTGGCGCTTTACCAATCTCATTTGAAAAATATCGCCCTCTGATTTTTTTATTGCAGCCGGAAAAATGTATTCTGCAGTTGCAGACAATGTAGGTCAGATGCGATTACAACTCCTATTTTCAACCACCAAATGTACATTCTATGTCTCGTTCCGATGCTTTTCCAGGATTCGTGACGTCCTCAAAAGTCCCTGAATATCTTTGAATTTTGGGAAATAAACCACTTTTCCTTGAAAACCACCCAAAAGGTTTTAATTTGAACATTCCGTGGTTGTTTTGTTTAAAACCATCTAGAGATTGGTATTTTTTCTTTTTTCTTTCTTTTTTGGTTTTGAAAGCCTCCCTCAAGATTTCCTTCTTTATCGTAAGCACTTGACATTGAAAGATCCTTGAAAATTCTGAATTCTGGTTTCGAATATTTGCCATGAACCTGGTTCCCAAAGCTCACTCTTGAATACTTCCTTTTTACATACTCTGTTTGTTGGATGATAAGAAATTCATCGTATGTGACTATCGCTGTGATATTTCTCTATGATATTTCTCCGTGATATTTTTATATTTTTAATCGTATTAAATGTATGAAACAATTTATGTAATATCTTCATCATCAAACTGCTCGTGATTTCTCAATCTACATTTTTAATTGGTTCTTGATATTTACAAATTCTCAGAGTTGACAACTCAATTCACAATATACTTACCCCCAAAATATTGACACTTTTTAAAGACACTGAAAAAGTAATCACTATGATCCTCTCTCCACTCTCCATTTCCACTCTTTTGTACAGAAATATTATAATTTTCCTCTTTCTACATCAACTTTGTCCTCCAAAATTATTTCGAATATTTTTACCATTAAAGTGTGAAATATCAGTAATCCTAAAAACACTCATGATAATGGAAAAAATAAGGATTAGAAATATGAGCGTGCAAATCTATTGTCTCATGAAGGGAATCCGCGAATTAGCTCAAAAAAGTCCAATTCAAAGTAAATTAAATTTTTTCGTTGTTCCCTGAAAACTTGAAAAAGTGTCTTCTTATCTCGTTGATCCCACATCCCTCTCGTGCAAGGATAATTCAAAGCAACGTGGCAACAGGGTATATCGAGCCGGCTGTTGGGACCTGTCGTTAAATTGTCAGAGCGGTGTTTTATGCGTCACGAGCATGCAAGAAACTCATTAACCCTCGCAGCGCGCCTTTCACGCTCACGCAAATTTCGGACTTTCATTGAAAAATTCAACCTAGGGGTGTGCTGCCCAGAGTATACCTGTATATGAGAGGGCATTGCCATCTTTGTGCCGTTCTCTGATTGGTTCATCAGTTTTAGGCTATCATGGAGCTGCAAAGTTGGCTCAATGTAAAAAAGTCTGACCCAGAGGAACACGTATCTACGTATTATCGGCTGAGAAATGAATGATAATCATAATTTTCGGCAAAAATATCCATCAAAGTTCGATCCGAACTCAATTAAGAAGTTGCATGTAAAAAAATTTCTATCACACTAAAAATCACATCTAGAAATTTGTAGAACTTCGTTGCCATCTTATTTCTTTACATTGGGCCAAAATAGGAGCAGATGGGCTGGAGTTTGTTTACATTGGGCCAACTTTGGGGCTCCATGATAGCCGACCAATCCGAGAGCGGCACACTTTTTCTTTAGTAAAAAGATTGATATGGTAATACTCTCTCGTATACAGTTACTCTAGTCACAGAGTCACAGTTTAAGCAACACGCCTTCGTGGAGTACGCACATAGCTAAGGACTCGATGCAACCAGCCAGGAACTGATTAGGACTAAAATTAAAAGTGAAAGTATACGGATCATAATAGTCAAACGAACTAATGACTACGGTCCTACTGCAAAGTATAACTAAAGTTTAAACTATAGAAACTATGCTACTGCACGATAAAGCCAATGAAGAATTTGCACGCAAATTTTTTATTGTCTCATCTGAAAGTGCTTAAAGAGTTGATTTCGCAGTTTTCGCATCTTATTTTTTTGAAACTGGATCAGAATTAAAATCGATTTCAAAGTGAGAAAATGTACCGTCCGGTGACGTCATCTGGTGGCTTTTCCAATTTAAACACATGTATTCTAGCAAATTAGTAGATCATTTCATCATATCTCCTTCAATAATTGTTCAATATATGGACCAATTATAAGGTTATCCTCGTGTTCAGTTCACTCAGAAGTTTCCACTTGTACATGAAGTTCGTCAAATTTCAGGCATCTGCAAATTTTCCATCGTACGTACTTTGCTTTTAAAATAGCCAAGAATATTGGTTTTATCGTGCATAAAATTGAATCTATCTTATTCATAATCATAATTATTTTATACCCTAAAACCCTTTTCTATTATAATGCTCACTTTTTTCAGGTTTGGGAAGCGATACGAACTACCTCTTTTATTACAAAGTATTGTGATGAATATCATGATGTTACTCATGATCCACCTATGTGTCAAAGTGCGCAATAAGAATCAATTAAAACCGCCAATCGTAGAGAGAACCTTTACTGGTAAGTTAATTTTACCATTCATGGAATGCTGTTTGTGTTTGAGTTGTTACTAAATTTTTAACAGAGTTTGCTTTATACTAACATGATTTTTAGCCTCTAAAATCGGATTTTTTTCCGCGTTTTCCTCGTGCGATCTTGCTTGTAGAAATAAACTGTCGAATTCCGTATCTGTGACTCGTGCAACTGGTTACATATTGTCGTTCAAACGGTGCGAAATTCACCGAATGGAAGTTTTCCGAGCCCTAACGGATTCCTACTTTTATAGTTGTACCTAATGTAAATCATTTTTCAGCCGCCTGTGCTCTTCTCTCTCCCCCCACCCCCACCCCCCACCCCCGCAAAAAATTCAGAAATCTAATATGATTTTGATTTTCTCATATTTTTCCCCATACTCTATACCGTGATGAAGTTAAATAGCATTTCTCAAAAACCAAGGGACAATACTTAGGGAGAAATCAAATGAATTATTCGATTAAAAGCAAAGTTGTGCGTCGTATTGGAACCAACACTCGTCGTGTCGCACAGTAGATCGAGTGAATCAGAGAGGTGGGACGTAACATTTTTGACTAAAACTGCAAATTTTGATGTTTACCTCGTCACATTTTAAATTTTGAGGGGTGGCTCTAGAAGAAAATTTCACAAAGAAACCAATGAAATCATATAATATAAAACCTCAAAGTTCTCTATAAACGGCGGAGTTAAAGGCTTTTAAAGTTTTCAAAATTTGTCCGACTTCTACCATTGTCTCGATCAACTGTGCGTATCGGTATCAGATGTGACAGCTCAGAAAGATTTGACTACCGTGCTGAGTTTAGCGTGGTCATACCGGTTTCAATAAGTTTGATTCGGATTTCGCAATACCTTCTCGAAGGAATTGTGCGCGAAATCATGAATATATGGAGCCACCAAGGCCCAAAGGAATGGAGCGAACGCCCTTTTAATATTGCATCCTCTCTTCGTCCATAATTCAAACTGGTCGTTTTCTCGTGCTTTGTGCACTTGCTTTAAATTGAGGGGCTAGGAGGAGAAGGCGCATTAGTGCAGTTTTTGCTATTTCGAGAAATACGTGTTCGAAATTTCGAAAGTACATGGATCTTTATGGCAGAGAGAAAGTTCAAACTGATTTTTTAATGCCTAAAAATTGGAATTTGGGTGTGAGTTTTTCATGGATCAAGTGGACTATGCATTAAGAGTAGTTCTACTCGAAATCATTAATAACTCAATTTTTAAAAAACTGTCCTCATGCGCCTTGTCCTGATCTGAAAGCCCTTCAGTTGGAAGTATGCTTAGCAAATTTCTACCTTGAGGATTCCGTATGATCTCACTTAGAACTATAATGGGTGATTATGACGTGTATTTTTGGTCGTCCAAAAATTACTGCAAACTTGCATAATTGATATTCGAAAGCTATTGATCTGTTGGAACCTGAAAACAATGTGCTTGAATCCTAAACCTTTTAATTGGAGTCATACGTAACTGATATTTAGATCGAGTTTCGTAAAAAGAAACCAAGATTTTTTTTTTCTTAAATAAAGGTTGTGTTATAATCTTTTTTAACTCAAAGAAAAGTTCTCGTTTCAAAATTTTTGTTTCAAAGTGACAAATTACGATAATCATTTTGGTAGGTCATTCTCATGGAAAATGGTTAAATGGCTTAGAACCATTTCTTAAAATGGCTTAGAACCATTTCTATCAATCCTGATGGTTAAAACGTACAATTCGATTATGCGGTATTTTCCAAATTGTTGAATAACATTTGAAGAACCCCAAAAACGCAACCAAACTATGAAAGAAAACCACAGATCCTTAACAAATGCTCAAAATACGTGTTAAATAAAACAATCTGAGCAGGAGGCGTATTGGAAGGGCGGTGAACAGAAAAAAGAACGCGGTTTAGAGATCTTGGTTCCAGAGAATTCCTGAAAACATGAATCACGACCATGACACAGTAAAAAACAAACAAAAGTCAAGAGCACATAATGTCATTAGCAAAGTCAACTTCACAAAGCGCATACCAAACATTAAACTTTCTTTGTTCTCCTAAAATGAATACTTCCGGTGTGTACGCGAGAGGAAGACACACATTTTCAAATCGTGAAGCGTTAATCTAATTTAATGTTTCGTACTGAGAGTTAAAAGTCGGAATATTTCAATTTGCCCGGTATACCGCAGACCTGCGGCGCGTTACAGGACTTGGAAGTCAAATCATCTTCCTTTTCATAGCGTCACGTAGTTTATGAACGAACCCTCGTCAGTGAAACGCCCTACATTCAGCAGGGTGTCTACTAGTCTGGAAAGTCCGGAAATGGTGCTGATATTTTTGGGGCTGTCCAGAAGTACAGGAAAAGCCCAGAAATTTCGATAAAAAGTCCGGAACTTTTCATGCCACGCATGTTTTATAAGATAGCCTGGAAAGTTTGCAACCGCTTGCATATTTATTCTCAGGAATATTTTCCTCATTTATTTGTCTGCAAGATCGCGACTGTAAAGTTCGTTGATCTGCAGGCTATCAATAGAATAGTGTGCCTAGGTATAAAATTTTTGTCGCAATTCGACCGTGAATTTCAAAGTTTTTGAAATTTTTCAAATGCTGTCCAGTAGCGGTACTGAAAAATTTCTGAATTCTTCTTTTAAGAATGCACTGAATTGCATGGGAAAGTACGAAAAAAGTACCGTATGAAGACCGATTTGCTTAGTTTTTAGTAGTAGACATCCTGCATTCGAAATACCTGCAATTTCTCCATCAGAAGTACATTTTGCGAGACTGGTTTCCCTACAGTGCCGCACCGTTAGTTTGCATTCGTGACGGTGGATACCGCGAAACAAAAAAGACGCCACCGATAGTTGACGTGCAGTGGCGTCCGTTTCCAGACGTGTCACGAACGTGTATTCGCAAACAAGCCAACGTATGTAAAGTGGATAGCAGTTGTGGGGCAACAATTGAAATTTGCCGTTCCTTTGACGAGCTACCATTGTTGGCGGGGACCGCTCTTTGAGGGAATGCTCGCATAATTTCATTCCGTTTGAAGCAAATACGTGCACCGATAATTTTAAAAAGTCGACGTGACATGCAAGTTTATTTTGATAAGAAAGCATGCAGATATGCGGTTTCAAGATACAGTCGCAGCTTTCCAAAATCGAATCGATATCTTGTCTACATGGGGAGTTTTGCCGAAAACTTTGATAGCAATTAGTTCAACGAACTGGACTGCATATTGCAATAATGAGCTGTTTCTCATTCACTATTATTCATTTCCAGTTCACTCATTAAAGAACCTATCTGTATTGGGAAACAAACGGGCACATTGATTCTAGAATAGACCAAAAATACTAGCCTCTTATTTTACAATTTTATACAGTCCAACTGAGTATACTAATGAATTCGAACTCATCACGAATCGCACCGAATACATGTCGGTTTCAATGATTATTCACTCAAAATCTGCTCGATCGTCGTATCACCAGTGGCGTGGCGTGCTTTGCGATATATCGATTGATCGGCCATTCAAACCTATGGAAAAGTATCGACAAACAGTGTTCGCAGCGAACACTAAAAGGTACATGAAATTACCTGGGTCCTAATTAATAATAATAATGCCGGATAAAAATGGTTCTTTTCATTCATGAACTTCCCAAGCTTTTGAGTATTAGGTGTATCATGTATGCATTACTAATGGTGAATTTGCACCGGTAATCCAGCATTGCGCGAAGGGTCTAAGAAAATGTACGAGGATTGCGCGAAAAAGGCATGATTGTGCGAAGAGAAACCGTACCATCTGCTACAGGAATGCGCAAATTTAAAATGAAGTTAATATAAGGTAGAAGTTTGGCAAAACGGGAAACAGTTGGGAAATAAACACATTTGTACGTTAACGCTAGTTTAGGTTAGCTTGTTGACAAGTTATCAACGTCTTACCTCCTGATGAAAAATAAAGTGAAAAGATTGTATAATGGTCGTGGGTATAAGAACTTTCCGAACTTTTCTCGGAATAAATATTTAATGGGGAGAAACGAGGCAACGTTGGGATGCTCATACGGCGTCTAAACCAGAATGGGCCTTTTTTAAGTTATATTATTTGCGATTAATCTAACGCGAATTAAAATAATCGCCCCAAACACAGTGCAGCCGGCGCAGCGTTAAACGTATATTAGCGCCTACAAGACTGCAGGAATACTTCACGCATTGCGCTAAACGCAGTGCAGTCGGTCAGCTGCCGTAAAACGTATAGCGCCTACAAGACTGTTTGAATGTTGTAGGATTGCGTGTCACCATCAGGTCATCATTCTTGACTTTTTGCTCCAGTTTTTACCATAATTAAAGGGAAAATATGTAACCTCTTCGTAGCGATTCAGAAACTTGGATGATAATTAATTTATTTTAGGTTACATTAAAAGAGAATAGAACAAACGAAAACATCGCGTCGAAATTTTTGATACTTTTATTTCAGATCATTTTGGTAAATTCGTGTTCAATCTACGAACCAAGGGTATTTTCGTGTTCAGTTCACCCAGTAGTTTCCAACACAAAATCCATCAAATCTCAGACATAAGCAAATTCTCCATGCAATGCAGTGACGTCATCTGGCGGCATTCCCTATTTAAACACATGTATTTTGGCAGAATAGGTTATTTTGTCATATCTCCTCCAGTAATCGTTCAATTTATAAACCAAGGGTATTTTCGTGTTCAGTTCACCCAGTAGTTTCCTCTTAAACACAAAATTCATAAAATCTCAGACACATGCAAATTCTTCATCGCTTTAATGAGTCTTTAAGAGTCCTACTAACAAGATAATACACGAAAAATAGTTGGGGAAAAAAAATAAAAATTGAAATTCGTGGGAAAATGCACGGAGTAGGGGCAACTTTGGCAACGCCGTGATGTAAGCAGTAAATTTATGCAGTAAAACGTAACTATGTCTACTTAATGCGCTTATTATTTCAGAAAAACTTGAAGGGTTACCGCCGATCCGGCAGTCCTATTAACAAGCGACATTTTGG